GGTCCTTATGTATCAATAATAACGCTAAATGTAAAGGAATTAAATGCCCCAATTAAAAGATGCAGTGTCGCTAAATGGATTATAAAACAAAAATTAACAACATGCTGCCTACAAGAAACTCACTAACTGGTAAAGACACACACCAGATGAAAGCGAAGGGATGGAAAAAGATATTTCATGCAAATGGAAACCAAAAAAGAGCAGGAATAGCTATGCTTAGATAAAATAAACTTCAAGCCAAAGAAAGAAAAAAAGACAAGGAAGGTCATTATATAATGATAAAGGGATCAATTCAAAAAGAAGATATAACAATTCTAAATATATATGTACTCAACTCCAGAGCATCTAGCTGTATAAAGCAATTACTACTGGACCTAATGGGAGAGAGAGACTCCAACACAATAATAGTTGGGGACATAATAGCCCATGATCAGCAAACGACAGATCATCCAGACAGAAAATTAAAAAGGAAACAACAGAGTTAATCTCTACTGTAGTCCGACATGACCTAACAGACATTTATCGAACATTTCATTCACCACCTGCAGAATACACATTCTTCTCAGCAGCAAATGGAACATTCTCTACAATAGGCCATATGTTAGGACACAAAACAAGTCTAGACAAATTTTAAAAAACTGGAATATCAACTACCTTGTCTGACCACAATGGAATAAAACTAGAAATCAACAACAAAAGGGACTCTAGAAACTATACAAATACATGGAAATTAAACACCAAGCTCCTAAACAACTGATAGGTCAAAGAAGAAATCAAGAAGGAAATTCAAAAATTCCTGGAGACACATAAAAATGAAAATACAACATGCCTATGTGATACAGCAAAGGCAGCTCTAACAGGGAATTTTATACCAATAAATACCTACATCCAAAAAGAACAAAGACTCCAAATAACTTAATGTTACACCTCGAGGAGCTAGAAAAACAACAAACCAAACCCCAAATCAATAGAAAAAGAGCAGTAACAAAGATCAGAGCACAAAAATATGAATTAAGGATTTAGGACTTCTGGTCAAGATGGCAGAATAGATGGTCCCCAGTGTCACTCTCTCCCACAATCAACCAACTCACAAGTATTAAAAAGCAATGACAGCCAAGCTGGGGCTGCTAGATATCAGGAGAAGAGGAGGAGAGACCTACGGAGGTCATGAAGGCAGGAAAAGCCACAATGAAGAAAAGAAAGAACCACTCCCACCATTTCGAATCCCAGCTACTTCAAGGCTGGAGCTGCTGAGTGCATGGAGCAAGAGCTGGCAAGTGCCACAGTGGTGCCCTTTGTATGTAGTTTCTTGGAGGCAGAAGGGAAGAAGGCCTTGGTGGCCCCCAGGACAGCAAGACCATAGGAGTGGGGAGCCACAGTCAACTGAAATAAGGAGCCACTCAGAGGCTGGTGAGTCATCTCAAGGGACCAGTGCATGGCCCGTCCTATGGGAAGTATTTGGATTGCAGGTGGTGGGGGAGATGGCCCACCAGGGGAACATCAGGGCACAGCATGGACAGCTGATCTGCCCTCCAGTCAGCACAGGCCCACTCAGTATAGACTGGTCAGGAATATAGAACTGCAGTGGGTGCAGTTTGCTGAAAAGACTCAGGCTCAGACCAGAGTTTCCAAACAACCCAGGAGTACCAGACCTCACAAGACCCAAAAGTACTTACAAGGTAAACAATTAAAACCTGAGCTGCACAGAAAGACTTTCCCAGAGAATCAGCATCAAAGGAGCAATTTAGCTCAAGCACAGGGCTCAAGTGCAGGTTCCCACAGGAAGTTTTCCCATTTTATAAGTAAGCAAAGGACAACAAATTACTACCAGTGCAGAGTTTAAGTGGTGGGGGTAGCTAATAATCCAACGCAGGAGTGAAAGAAAACACAAAAAACCCACAGATCTAAGACAAAGTTCTGATATTAACCAGTAAAGGTCTAAATTCAGCAAAGAACACCTATAAAACCTAGAAGGACTGGAAGCCTCCGGGCTCCCAAGCCAGGGTCAGGGGAGGGCTCAGGGACTCAGCCATGTCCTCCCTATATCCACAACCAGCCCAGTGACAACAACCGAGCCACCACCAGAAACATCCTGAGTTCCAGAGCCAGGGTAGGAGGGAACCAAGGGCTTCAGCCACAGGCCCCTGACATCTGCATCCAGTCCAGCAACAACCGAGTCACTGCTGGAAGCCCCCTGGTCTCTTCTGTCAGAATGAGAGGGGTGCCAAGGACCTCAACCACGCCTCTCTCCTTCCAACTCTTCCCACCCTATTTCTCTCCCCCTGTCCTTCTCCCCTCCCTGCAACTGCTCCACAACAACATCTTAGAATGTAAAAAATAATAATAATAATAATATTTTTAAAAAATGAAAAGACTGAATACCAAGTAACAATAAGGATGGGGAACAACTGACATTCTTTTACATGGCTGATGAGAGTGCAAAATGTTACAACCATTTCTGAAAATAGTTTGGTAGTTTCTTACAAAGTTAAATGTACACTTACTATATTACCCAGCACCCACCAGTAAGATAAGGGAACCCAAAAGAAATAACCAGTAGTCACACCCTGCTACACTGTTGGTGGGACTGTAGATTAGTGCAACCATTATGTAAAACAGTATGGAGGTTCCTCAAACAACTACAGATAGAACTGCAATATGACCCAGCAACACCATTGCTGGACATATACCCCCAAAGGAATGGATGTCATCATGTCAAAGAAATACCAACTCTCCCATGTTTATTGCAGCTCTATTTACAATAGCCAAGAGTTGGAATCAACCTAAATGTCCATTGACAGATGACTATGATATACATATGCAATGGAATACTATGCTGCCATAAAAAAGAATAAAATTCTGTCATTCGCAGCAACATAGATGAACTTAAGAAAATTATGTTAAGTGAAATAAGCCAGGCACAGAAACAGAAATACCATACATCCTCACTCATAAGTGGGGGCTAAAAGAAAAAGAGAGAGAGAGAGAGAGAGAGAGAGAGAAACAATCACAATAATATGTTAAACTTCAAAAAGAAACACAGAACAGAACCGCTGTTATTAGAGGTGGGATGGGGGAGGGGGTTTGATGAGAAACTAGTTAAGGGTCACAAAGACGATGTTTTATAAACATGAGTATACTAATCATCCTGACTTGATCACCACATATTGTACACATGTATTGATATTCGAATCTGTATGCTACAAATATATATAATCAATAAAAAAATAAAATTAAAAACCAAAACTCTTCACAAAGACTTGTATGTGAATATTTATAGCAGCTTGATTCTCAGTAACCAAGTCTGTTCATTCTTAGCATAAGTGCTTTATTGTTGCCGAAAAAGTTTGGTCCCCTCAAATAATATGTTTTTGGAAATATTTACATTTTTATTTTAAAAGGTTAAACCATTTCTCGGCAATTTGTTTTTTTTTTTTTTTCTTTTTATTCAGAATCTATAAGAATAATTAAATATTTGCAAACCATACATCCAATAAGGGGTTAATATATGAAATATATAAGTAATTCAAATAACTCACTAGCAAGATAACTACCCTGATTAAAAAATGGGCAAAGAACCTGAACACACATTTCTCAAAAGAACGCATGCAAATGGCCAACATAAAAAATGTTTGACATCACTAATGACGAAGGAAATGCAAATTAAAACCACAATAAGATATCAGCTGACACCTATTAGAATGGCTTTTTATCAAAAAGAACCAAAAAACAAGTGTTGGCAAGGATTTGGAGAAAAGAGAACACTTGTACACTGTCGGTGAAAATGTAAATTAGTCTAGCCATTATGGAAAACAGTATGGAGGTTTCCCAAAAAATTAAATATAGAACTATTATATGATCCAGCAATTCTAATTCTGGGTATACATTTAAAGGAAATGAAATCAGTATGTCAAAGAGATACCTGCACTCCCATGTTCACTGCAGCATTATTAACAGTAGCCAAGATATAAAATCAACCTCAGTGTCCATCAACAGATGAATGGATAAAGAAATGTGTTACTTAGACTTAAAAAGGAAGAAACTTCGTCATTTAAACAACATGGATGAACCTGAAGGACTTTATGCTAAGTGAAATAAGCCAGGCACATAAAAATGCTGCATGATCTCACTTATATGTGGAATCTAAAGAAGTCAATATTATAGAAACGAAGTAGAAAGGTAGTTACCAGAGGCTGGTGGGTGAAGGGGAGGGAAGGAGGAATGGTTGGGAAAGGGGAGATATTGATCAAGGCATATAAATTTTCAGTTACTCTACAGGAATAAGTTTTAGTGATCTATTGCACTGCATGGTGACCACAGGTAATAATATACTGTATATTACAAAATTGCTAAAAGAATAGATTTTTAATATTCTCTCTACAGCAAAATGATGTTGGTAAGGTGACTAGAGGAATAAGTTTTAGTGATCTATTGCACTGCATGGTGACCACAGGTAATAATATACTGTATATTTCAAAATTGCTAAAAGAATAGATTTTTAATATTCTCTCTACAGCAAAATGATGTTGGTAAGGTGATGAATATTTTAACTAGCCTGATTGAAACTTTCTACAATGTATTTATGGATCAAAACATCACATTGTACTGTATAAATATACACAATTACCGTTTGTCAGTTAAAAATAACTTGATAAAATACATAAGTATGTGAGGTGATGGACATGTTCATTAGCTTGATATAATCATTCCACATATATACATATACCAAAACATCACATTGTATTCCATAAATAGATACAATTTTTAAAAAGAATAATAAAGAACCTCTCACTGAATCATGTGGCCTTTTAAAATTTAGTATATGAAAAGATTGCACTCATATTTACCAATATACATGTTTTGTTAGGTTTCCAAGCCATAACATGAATCTTGAATAATTTAAATTCTTAGCTTTAATGTTATATATAAACAAGATCTTATTTCTTAAACTATGGGTACACAGAATTAAATATTAAATTTGTATCATTCTTATTTTCCAGACATATTTTATTCCCAAAAATCACTTGTATAAAGCTTTTGAGCAATGCTGTCCTCTCATTGAATATAAAATGTGGCTAAAAATTGGACTTTCTATTACTGCCCAAAAAATCAGGGAACGTTTGTCTTACGAGGTAAGAGATGTTTGTGTAAACTCATCCTTTTCTTTAAATGGAATTGCATTTTGTTAGAAATCGACTTTATGAACTTATATTAAACTTCATAAACAAATCATAGACTATACAATTGTGTTTTTCTTTTTTTTAAATAGGATTGGAACTACAAGATGCAATTAAAGCTCTCTAACCTTTATGTAAAAGATATACCAAAGAACACCAAAACTAATATCTATGATGAAACTGTAATCTATGTTATCCTTATACATGGAGCTGTAGAAGATTGTCAGTTACGAAAAGTTTATAAGGCACCTTTCTTAATTCCTATAACATGCCATCAGGTAAAGAAATATTGATTCATCTCCAGGTCAATATGCCATATGTCTGACAGTGTATTAACATTAGAAAAATTGTCACTATAATCTTGGGCTTTTCACCTTCCCATTCTCCCCTGTCCCGCAACACTCCATAAATACCCATCCATACCCACATACACCACACACATCAAGTTCATTGATTGCCTTGGTATTTGGTAGCCCAAGCTCAAGCTATTCCCATCCAATGTCAGTGAAACAGGCCAAGCTGTACATTTTGGACACAGTAAGATTTTGGAGCAATTGTACATAGCAAAAGAGGGCCTATTAATTTCATTCACACATTGCAGAAGGACTGTATCAACAGTACTCTAGAAAGTATTGTTCTGCCAGACCCATGCTGAATTGAATACCAACTGGTACTTCCTCAGCTACTTGAAAGTAGATGTAAAAGTGAAAGTCTTCTCATATTTAAACTAAACGAGTTTCCTGGCCAATAAAAATGAGAACCTAAGCCATGTCAAGAAGGGAAGAAGAAAGATTGCACGTTTGTGTGTGTGTCTGTGTCTGCGTGTGTTAAGGTAGAGTAAAAGAGGCATGTATCAAGAGGAATCAAGGGACATATAAAATATAGTTACAGAAAATAAATTAACAGAGGGACCCTGAGTCACTTAAATTAGGCTTAAGTATATTTAAATATATTTTTAAGTAACTAATATATGACAGAAATAGTGCTAAATGCTGAAGCGATAAAGACAAATGAGACTTACAACTACTCCCAACCAAGTGGAAAAAAACAGATATGTAAATATACGAATAAAATATTTATAGCTCTGATGGAAGTACAGGGTAGATTCAGGACACAAGAAAAAAGCAAGATGGGGTATGGGAGGGATCTTAAAGTGACAAATGAGCAAAAGAAAACTTTCTAAGTGGACACCAGCAGCACCCGTGTGATGCCCAATGAGAGGAAGTGAAGCATTCTTCACTGTGGTGCTTGCTACCACTTTTCTTGAATACAAAACAGGCCTTTGATGTGAGTGCTGGTTGAGAATTGAATCAGTGAGCAAGAGATTCTCAAGGCAGCCTGAAGCCTGCCCAACTCTATCTACTTCCCTAGATATGGAGCCTTGCTCACTGAGGATTTGGGTACTCATGTGATTCAAAGCATATTTAAAACACTACAAGGTGGAATGATTTTTTAAAATTCATTGTTTTTTAAACTTTCTGTCATATAGAAAAACTCTCAGTGAGTTTTGAAGGGGCTACTGATGATTAACTCTTAATTATTTTTCTCATTTCAATGAGAAATGAACAAAATATTGAAACATCAATAAAAGTACATGAAGGGATTTCAAAAAGTTCATGGAAGAACGAAATTTAAAAATATAAACTTTAGGGCCGGCCCCATGGCTCACTCGGGAGAGTGCGCTGCTGGTAGCGCCAAGGCCGCGGGTTCGGATCCTATATAGGGACGGCCGGTGCAGACCACACCGTGCGAAGGGTTGCAGTCCCCTTACTGGTCAAAAAAGAAAAAAAAAAA